AAAACAACAGGTGAGCTAACAAGATAAGACCTGAATTTTTCACATGTTAATATTACTGCAAGTAATTCTTTTTTAGTGGTGGTGTAATTCATTTGAGCACTATTTAAAATTTTACTTGTATAGTAAATCACATAAGGTTTCTTATCTTTTCTTTGTCCCAAAACAGCACCTACGTCATAATCACTAGCATCACACATTATTTCAAAAGGTAATGACCAATCAAAAGGTTGAATGACAGAAATAGAAGTGAGTATATTTTTAAGTTTAACAAAAGCTTCCTTACAATGTTCAGTCCATTCCAAAAAAATGAGTATTTAAGATTGAATAGTAACTGCTTCAAATCAGGTTTGGGTGGTTGAACACTTAAAGATATGGACTTAATTGATCGTGGTGACAATTCTTCAATTTGTGGTATCTAATTACTTGCCTTTGATTCTTTCTGAAAATAAACCATTTGCAAATTATCAGATTCATCAATCTCAATTTTACTAAAAGTGGTTTGAAATTGATTATGAATTAATTTTTCAGTAAAGTTCACTTCCTATAAATCATTATCATCTTCAGGTTGCTTGTAAATGTTAAAAATATTCATCTTCAATGTCATGTTTCCAAATGATAACTTCATGAGTCCATTCCTATAATTAATCAACGCGTTAGAAGTTGCAAGAAACGTACGTCCCAAAATAACAAAAAATGAATTACATGCTTTAACAAGTTGTGTGTCCAAGACAATAAAATCTATAGGATAAATGAATTTATTGACTTATACTAATACATCTTCAATTATTCCTCTAGACATTTTTATAGATCTATTAGTAAGAAAGAGATACAGAAGTTGGTTTTAACTCACCTAGATTGAGACTCGAAAAAATTGAATATGGAATTAAATTCACACTAACTCCAAGATCAAGTAAGGCTCTTTCAATTTTATGTTCTCTAATAAAGCAAGAAATTGTAGGATAACCAGGGTCTTTATATTTCAAAGCATTATTGTTCTAAAGAATGACACTTACTTGTTTGGCTAAAAAGACTTTCTTTTTCACATTTAGTTTTCTCTTCATAGTGCATAAATTTTTTAAAAATTTAGCATAAGAAGGAACCTGTTTAATAGCATCCAGCAAAGGAATATTGATCTTTACTTTTTGAAAGTTTTAAAGATTTTAGAGTTGTGATTAACTTTTCTTTGTTTTGTCATGGCATGAGGAAATGGAAGTGCTGGTGGGTAATCAGTCTTTTCTTTATAATTTTCAGATTCAACCCCTTCCTTACCCTCAAAGATTAACTCATCATCTTTCTCATAAGGTTTAAGAGTGAGTTTTTCAATAACCTTACCACTGCGAAGAGTAGTGACTAATTTGACTTGATCCATGTGTTGGCTTCCAGAATTACTTGTATTTATATTGTATTGCTCTTTGGGATTTTGTTATGGTTGAGATGGAAACTTACCTTTCTCTTGAAAACTGAGAGTAGATGTCAATTTTGCAAGAGTATCTTTAAAATTTATCATACTTTGAGCAAGTTGAGTATTAATTATCTCTTACTTTTCAATGACTGCATGCAATGTTTCCTCAAGATTTCTTTTAGGAGATGGAGCATAAAGAGGTACATATCTTTGAGAATTTTAAAAATTATGGTGTACTTGAAACGGTGGTTGTAAAGTTTGTGCATTGTTATTACCACTCTTCCAACTAAAATTTGGGTGATTTCTTCAACTAGAGTTGTATGTTTGTGAGTATGCGTTATGGTTGAGCCTTTGAAAACTATTTAAAGCATGAGCTTGTTCATGGAGACATTCCTTAAAAGAAGGCAAGGTTGGACTGTCATTGCTTGAGTGTTTATTTGTTTCACAGATTTGACACACAATGTCTTGAACAGATTTTAATTGACCACTTTTTTTTAATTCTAGTGCCTCGACTTTTCTAGCTAAAAATACAAACTTGACTTGGAGGTCATGATCTTCCCTAAGGTTGTACATAACTCTACTAGATGGATAAGGTTGAGTTTTACTTGGTGCCTCATCAGTACCTGCGGTGTTCCAAGTTTGAGCATTTTCAGCTAACAAGTCTAAGAATTTCATTGCTTCATCAGAGTCTTTATCTTTAAAAGTTTTATTGCACATCAATTCAACCATTTGTCTATCTCTAGGTATTAACCCTTCATAAAAATATGAAACCAATCTCCATATTTCAAAACCATGATGAGGGCAAGTATTAAGTAAGTCTCGATACCTATCCCAACATTGATAAAACTTTTCTCTTGGTTTTTGAGTGAAAGTGGTGATTTGTCTTTTGAAAGAGTTTATTCTATGAGATGAGAAAAACCTCTTTAAAAACTGTTGTTACATTTCATCCTAAGCACGAATGGATCCAAGTCTCAAATTTTATAGCCATGTTTTGGCTTTATTTTTTAATGAAAAAGGAAAAAGCTTTAATCTGATGGTGTTCATACTATACTTTGAGTCATTATAGGTATTATAGACCTCTTTAAATTCCTTTAAATGCAAGTATGAATTTTCCAAATCTATACTATGAAAAGAAGGTAAAAGTTGAATAATGTTTGGCTTAAAATTAAAATGAGATGCATCATAAGGAAAAACTATGCATGATGATGTTTTGTTCTTATGGGATTCATGTGGTCTCTAAGTGTTTTAACACGGTTATTCATTATTCTCATTATGAAGTGATTGATTATCTTCTTTGGCTATATTTTCTAAAAATGACAAAGATACCCTACAAAGTCTATCATTTAATGTATGTGACCACACTCTCATGCACGTATAAAAATAGAATAAAAGAAAGAAGAAAATAAAAGAAGAAGAAACTAAATAAGAGAAACAAAGTTATATACAAGAAAAGAGAAAAGAGAAAATAAAATAAATACTATAATTTGTACAAGAACTTGCCTACCCGGCAACGACGCCAAAAACTTGACGCGACCAAAAGATTGATGTCTTCTCTCAAATATAGGAGTGTCGAAGTAATAAATAACTCAATAAGATCGGGGTCGAACCACAAGGAGGTTAATTGTATAAATTATAGATAACAATAATACAACTACAACAATTAGAACAATAATAGTAATAATAATAACAATAATAATAGTAGCAGTAGTAGTAGTATTAGCAACAATAGTAGTAATAGTAACAATAATAAAGAAATTGATAAGAACTTTGAGATGAAAGATTAACGTAAGGATTAAACAATGATAACAACAAATATCAAGATTGGAGGATCCATTAATGGCGTGTCAAACAAGGATAGTATAAACTCTTATTATTCAATTGAAAACCACACACTAAGAAGGTTTCAATCATATTACAATTGTTAACATGATTACATTAGTTATTTTATTCGATTAATGCTAATACTTGTAAATATTGTCAAGTATTCATGATTATAACTTATGTTAACAACAAATCAAGTTCCTTTCATAGCACAGGTGTCGGTTATACCATATAGTATGGGCTATGAAAGTGCCAAGTATTTGTTGTACCAAGTATTATACAATATAAATTTAAATTAGCATTTAATAAGTAAAGTATTAAAAAGTGAACAAGATAACAAATATAAAATATGTTAGTATTAAATATTAAAGTCTATATTAAGTTTACACTATACTTATTTCTACACCAATAGTGTAACCTTTTCATCTTGATATAATAATTTAGCTAAACATAATGAAATAAAGAAACATAAATAAACAAAATAAGAACATAAATAAGATAAAAGTTAACTAAGTAAAGGAAAAGAAATGAAAAACATAAACTTGATATTAATGAAAGCAAAACATAAGTAATATAAAGAGAGAACAAAAACATAATCTGGATCTGGAAACCAAGATGTCTAAATGCATGCAAATGCTTTTTTTTTATAGACTAAAATTGAAAACTATTGATTTGATGACTAATTGATGAGTGAGTGACCACCTCTTGACTTGTTGACAATCCTTTTTTTTTTTTGTGTACCTAAAACATCATTGATACATCAGAATTGAAACCGCTTGAAAAGATGAAAGTTCTAGAAAATTGTCTCATCTTTTCAGGAAAAAAAATTGAGGTCATTTGGACTTCTAAAACTCCAGATATGGGTCAAACACTGAACAATATTCGGGCTGTAGGACAGATTTGGATTTCTTCGTTGATGCTACAATTTGGACTTAAAAATGACCTTATTAAAACTAGATCTTCGTATGAAAGTTGTAGACTTACATTTTACCTTTTCATCCATATAAAGTAGACCTAAATTCGAGATCTACAGCTCTAGATATGACCCAATTACCGAACAGTATTTTAGTTTGGACTACACTAATATCTTTTTTCTAAGTTTGACTATTTCTTTGTCCTTTCAATTTTAATATTTCAACTCATCAATCAATCCTTTTATTTATGTGAAATGTTTGTATTTAAGATAAATATTAACCACAAATTAAAGGTATCTTATATTATTAGATATGTTATTATAAAACATATTTTAATTAAGGAATTATTGATACTTAAAGTGTAAAATAATTATATAAAATATTGATAAAAATATATTTTTAATTATTAATTATTGGTTCAAACCAGGTTTTAAATCTAATATCTAAACCAATCTAAAATAAATCTTGATAATAAGGTGTTAGATTAATAAATTAACTAGATGATTTGACGATTACATGCTACGTTAGCCAGGTTAATAACAATGATTTTAATTCATATCCTCCATTTGTTGAATCCCCGTTTCAAAACTAAAAACATAAGATTTAAGGTTTGAAAACACGAGAGCCCCCGTAGTCGTCTTCGAAGCCGTTTGTGAATGTATTTGAAATGATGCAACTTAAAACTTTTTTATATAAAATTAATTTTTTTCCGTTTCAATATTTCTTACGTTGTTAGTCCAAAGCTCCGCCACGCGTTAATTCTTTGTCCGTTTCAATTTCAATTTCAACATTCCTTCCCATTTATTTTCCGGGAAAATCAAATTCCCAAACCCTAACTAATTGGGAAAAAAAATAAATTCACGATGAACATCTCGCTAATCGCCGATACAGCTACCATAGCTGCACAACAAACCCTATGTTCTGGAAACTCGCTGCTCCTCCATCGCCAAAACTGCATCAACCTCGCAGATCAATCCTCCCAAATCTGCGCCGCCATTGTCGATGCCTTGGCCTCGCCCCCTGTCAAATCCAAGACCTCCCGTCGCACCATCCTCCGGAAACGGCGGCGGACCAGGAGTAGATCGAAAACTTATGGAGATGCCGGCGATTGGGGAGAGGAGTATGGTTTTTTTGGCGGTGGAGGCGTCTGGGGCGGTTTTGGTGGCGGCGGCAGGGGGTGGATTTTCGATAAATTCGGAGGGCATGATTGGGATGAATCTTCGGGGTGGTTTTCCTCGCGGTCTTCGGATTTTGCTTACGGGTTTGTTTATGAGGTGATGTATTGGATTGCCTTGTAGAATTGCGTGCATTTTGCGTTTAAGAAGGTTGTTAGGCTCGTGGGTGATGGCATTGGTGATACCGAGAGAGGGAAAGTGGTGCCTTTGAGATTGGGTACCATTTGCTTATTCGGTAACTGAAAGGGTATTATAGAACATCTTTTCTACAATGCAATGTACATATTGTATATAATTCTTCACATTTTTTTTAAATGAATAATTTGTGATTTGGTTCTATGCGTATGACCTGCCTTTTCATTATTTGATGACTGCATGGTCTGTTTGAGGAATGTTGGAGATGATGGAGTCTCATATTTTATGTTTATTTGTTGGTTTGCATCATTTTTGGTTAATTGTGTTTCTATCTCATCTGCAATTACGGGTGACTTGTGCCTGGATGTCATTGAAATTTTGAGGGAAGAGTAGGAAGTCTTTTTCTTTTTTAAAGTAGCTGTTTGATGTTGGTTGTGGTGAAAGGTAGAAACCGAAGTTCATTTATTGTAATTTCTTCCTTTATATGGGCAGGAATTATGCTTGATATTGGTTAAGAATTTGCCAATATAACTCTTACTATTGGATACAAATCTTGTCAACAAGGGCTATTATCTGGGGTGGGTGGATATTCAAGTAGTGTCTGGCACTTGATCTGTCATGAAGAGTTAGACAGTGGTTACTTAAAGGTGAACTGAAGACTTATGTGCTATTGATGCAAATTAAAACTTACCTAAAATTTTCAACTCCTAACTCTAATTTTGTAGGCTACAGAATTAGCATTTCCATTAGAATCTTCCTTTTTTATGCTGATTATATGGAGTTTCTTTAGAGGTTCTTGCTTCAGATAGTCATACTCTATGCAAGACTAGTGGAAAAAAAAATAGAGGTAGCATAGGTATTTGTTATAATGTTGTGTTCCATGACATAAGGTAAACCGTCATCGTGTTCAAGTTGATAAGCTCCGCTCAAATAACTACACGCTTGAGTACAAGGGGTGAGGGCACAATTGTGAGATGGGAAGTAAGGTGGTTTTTATTTTCACTGGGTTATCTCAATGGTGTCATGAATCTAACAGGCTTGGAAGAATGGTAATACAGCAGTTGAACAAGAGTTGAAAAACCACCCTGGCCTCTTAACTGTCTAACAATGCTATCATCAGTTGACAATCTATCTGATGATGTTTTTGAAAAATATCGAAGGGCTAGAACCTCTGGTGCTGATGATGTTTTGGATTGAGACCTTTTGATAATAAGATATCAACCAGCATCCATGCTGGAGATTGGAGTGTTTTAAATCTTGTGAGAGAAGTCAGATTTCCATGAAAAATGTTCTCTTGTTTCTGGTTTGTTTTCTCTTGTTTTTACTATTGTGGACTGTTAATCGCATTTTCAGGTTTCATTAAAGTGTTGCACGCTTGCTCATTATGTGGCGTTGCACGCATATGCAGGTGCAGATGCATGCACTAATTGGCTTTCATGTGCCCTGCGCGATAAGACTAAATAGTCTGATGGATTTTGTTGTGGTAGATGCAGACAGTACAATTTGACAAATTTATATGTTCTGCACAGTAACTGAACATAAATGTGGTATGATTGACCTGTTTGGAGCTGGGAAATACTTGGTTACGCTTACAATCCTGAATAAATGACTTCAGAATTCTAAGTCTCAATTCTGCATGGTTTTGATGGAAGGAGCAAGCATCAAATTCGTGGCAGTGATCTACGAGATGGGTTTTTGCTGTGGGAGCGCGCTGGATGCTGCCATGGAGAAATATCAAGGATTATCTCATAGCAAATAAGCAATACAATCAATTGATTTCTAGAATGATAATAACTTTATATTGATATGGGGGGTTTAATTAGGGACAACAATGATTGGGTTGGAGTTGGATTTTGCTCCATCCATCACCTACTCGAAATATCTAAATCCATCGCCTATGTGGATCTCCAATCTACTAAGATTTAATTGAGTGGATGACTCTCTCTACCTAGTTGATATCGGATCTGAGTGGTTTTTTTTAATTAAAAAAAATCAAATTAAAAAAAAGGAAAATCTATTTTAAAAAAACAAACTATATCTTCATCTATGAATCATAAAAAAAAAAAACAGTTTAAAGGATTATCTCGTAACAAATAAGCAATACCAATTTCCATGATGATAATAACTTTATATTGATATGTGGGATTTAAAAGATTTCAAGAATGGTAATCGGGTAGGAGGTGGATTTTGCTCCATTCGTGACAAGTGTTGAATTTTACATCATTTTCTATTAATTTCTGTAAGTTTATTTTTTTAATTCTTGAATTCTTTTGGGTTTTTTCTATCATTCTTTTGTGTTTTGCAATCATTTTGGAGGGAAATTTAGAAGAAAAAAAATAAAAGAGTTTTAGGCTTAATTTATACAATTGGACCCAAGTATTGTCTCTTAATGTATGGATGAAAATCCAAATACAAACCCTAAGGAATTAGTTGTCTTGTCATTTGTTTATTCTTATTGTTGATAAAGTTATTTAATCCACATGTAAGGTTCAATAACATCATTTAATTAAAAGATTGAGTTATGACAAGAGATAAATACGAGTAGTAGTTTAATTCAACTTGGACTTTCAGAAGATAAACATGGAAACCACTATAAATAAAGGAAAGGAGCTGGTGAAGAAACGAAGCGAAGAACGCACATGAAAATCAAAAGAGAGGCAGGGTATGCAGAGCTTTACAGAGGACATTCAACCACCATAATCAAGTTTCATCCAATTCTTTTCTCTTTTGCTTTTTGTTAGTTTTCCATATAAATTTGATGTTTAATCAATTAAGCATGTGTAACTTGTTATTTCTTTTGTTAAGGTTGTTTTCAAAACTTTAGACATGTTTATTTTCAATCAATAAATTTCATAATTTTCTTTTATCTTTCCATTGAATATGTTTATATTCTACTCATTTCATAATTTAAAATTACTATCTTGTTGAATTAGGTGCGCAACAATGTCAATATGATAGTGATTTAACTGATATTTTAAAATTTTGATTTGTTTTGTCAACAATTCTAAAACTAAGCTGCAAATTGTGAAAATAGATTATGGTAGAAATTCAATTGATTGCATGTAATAAACCAAGCTTGGGTGTTTGTTTCTTGATTCAATCTACATCTTTCTCTTTATCCCTTTCATTAAGTTGAATTTAGAGAGCTTATTCTAGGTTGTTTAATGAGAAAAAAATAAAGTAATGAGCTTATTTTACTTTACAACAAAGCAAGAAAATATCGATAATTAAATTTATGATTGTTTTATTATTGTTGATTTCAAAAAAAAAAGAAGAATAATTTTGATAATTCATTATATTTCATGTTTAGAAGTGAAGAGTAGTTTGTTAACCATGTTTTTCATTAAGTTTTAAATTTTATTAGAAACTTGTTCCTGGAATTTTTACTTTTCTAGATATTTTTTTAATATATACCAAATCAACTCCAAATCACGCTAAATTTTATGTGTAACTACATTAAGGTATTTTTAGCAAGTCTACATTTTTTAGTTGATTTATTAAGTCTAGATAGGTTTTTGAGTTTTATTTTTCTTCCTAATCATATTAGGCTTTTTTCATGTATCTTTAGACCATAACTCGTTAATTAGTAACAATCTTATGTTAGAATGACCTTTGATTGCTACATAGTACAAGGATTTAATTTATGTACTTTTTTTAGAGTGTAGGTTTTGGTGTCTTCGTAACAACCTGGCTTTTTCAAAGCCAAAACAATGGTATATTTTTTTGTTCATCACAATATTATTTTTGAAATTGGTAAACCGATTTTCATTCATTATCGAGGTGCCATCCATGCTAAAAAACATGAATCAACATTTCATTAAAAGCAATTACACATATATATAATATTACATTTGTATGATTACAAGTCTATATTATAATATATGTGCATAATCATAAGTTTGCAGTCCTATATTACTAATAGATATTATGAGTTTAAACAAAAATATTGAATAATAACTATATATTAGTACACTTTGTTCATACAAAATACATCGTGATTTAAAATATGATAACATGATTCTTTAACCATACGTGGATCATTCTGACACCATTATGAACATCGCTAGCCTATCATCTCTTGCAATTAAGTAAGCCATCCATTTTTTTTCTCCTTTAAAATCCCACCAACGGTCATTTTATGTAAAATTTTGCATGCAATGACCAATTAATTAGTATTGTTGCTAGGTCGGGCCAGCAAGCAACCATATGCAACCATATGGGTTGTTAATTGTACCAATTTAAGCCTAAATCATATTTCTAGTTTGGGTCTAGCCCACCCAAAAAAATTGTTAGGTTGGCCCCACCTAAATAAGTTGGGTAGGACCTGTTTTGGCCTAATCTAGTTCCAGCCCAATTTATATAATAATAATAATAATAATAATAATAATGAAACAAAAAAAATTCCAAAAACAAATTTCAAGGGTTATTTCAAAATATTTATGAATTTTTTGCATGTTTTTCTAATAATTTTGTATAATATTGAGTTGTATATTTACATTTTAAGATACAAATTTGGTATTAAAATATCCTGTTTTTTCTGAAACATTTCTAAAAAAATTGAAAATTAAAAAAATTAAATTAATTTCTTTTTAAAAAACAAAATTTTATTTGTTTTCATGCATATGATCAAATCCTAAAAGTTTTCTAAATATACTTTTTATAGAAAAAGAAAAAAATGCATCTTTTTTAAGTTTTAAAATGAAAAAAATAGATGTCGTAATTAGTTTATAATTATCCATTAGGATTTGACCAAAATAAAAAAAATATTGAATAACAACTATATATTTAGTACACTTTGTTCATACAAAATACATCGTGATTTAAAATATGACTATGTGATTCTTTCACTATATGTGAGTCATCCTGACACCATTAGGAACATCGTTAACCTATCATCTCTCCCAATTAGGCAAGCCATCCATTTTTTTCTCCTTTAAAATCCCACCGACGGTTATTACATGTAAAATTTTGTATGCAATGGCCAATTA